CTCCCATTGTAGGAGTGAAGCAACTCTATATTCAGGATTCAGGTTAGCCTAATTTCATCTAGTTCCCATAAGGTTTTGCTCTAATTGATTGGAACTAAGTACTTGTCAACCTCAAACAAGATGCTCAACCTATGGAAGTGTTTCAGATTCCTTAGATAGATGTTTATCAATGTTTTATTCAACTTTACATAGGTGAGTCTTGACAGATCCTTGCTTAAGTATTAAGGAAGTAAATTGGTAATGCTAACGTAGGATAAGTTATAGCTAATTTGCACACTTAGAGATTTTGGAATAAAAACCTAAACATCACATATAAGGTTTCTTAAAACATCACATATAAGAAATCTTAAGTATCATATTTAAGAGTTTGATTGTGTAACACAACCAGAAAATTGAAAAATTTTTTTTAAGGTATTTTACTGAATGACTGAATTCTATTTCAAAATTGAAACTACAAAGATATTTATAATGCCATTAGCAAAATGGCAAAAGCAATAGAAGAGAAACACTTCAAAATCCAACCCTGCCATTTAGTAGGGACCCTTTTCTCTCCGAGACGTTATCTAAGAAATCCCAATTTACACAATCATAAACTTTTACGGAATCCAATTTAAACACAAAAAGATTATTCCTCAATCTCCTAAGCCACTCTACTAACTATAAGTAAGAATAGCATTGAGAATTTGTTTAAATCCAACAAAGACGCATTGGTTCATAAAGATCGACCCATCAAGTAACTGACTTAACCTTTGAGAAAACACCTAGAAATGATCTTACAAATGTTTGTGATTAAATTGATTGGATGAAGAATCCTAACCCTTAATGGAAATCTTTTTCAGGGACCAAGGTGATAAAAGTGGAATTTATAGGTGAGCTATTAATTAAATGCATTAGTGGTGAATAAGGGCTGGATCACCTCTGTTTATCTTGATTATTTCTTTGTCTCAAATTGTTGGGAGGATAGTTTCTCTGTTTGGTTTAGGAGCTTCTACCTTGTCCAGTTTTTGGTTATTTCCTTATTCTCTTGGAATCAAGTTCTAGAGACTCAACAAGGGATCATTTGGTAAGATGTAAGGGATCTACAACTTACAAGAGTCTGTGGAAAGCTATCTCAGACATCAGTGCATATCTTCTTCTTCTTCTCACTTTGATCATGGTCTCCCTTTTTTTCTTCTTTTTTTTTCTTTTTTTCCCTTTTAGGAGGATGCTTGGATTGAGAATGTCCTTTTTGGCTATTCGCTTCTCCCTGTTTCCAATTTTTGCAGTATTAATACTCCTATTTCCCATTTCTTTTGATTGCTCTGAGGGTCATTCCTTGTGGAACTTGTTTTTCCTTAAAAATGTTAATGTTTGTGAAGATGTTGATATTATTTCTTTGATTCAACTCAATTGATTCAATTGGAATATTCCATCCTAAAAATGGTGAAGTCGTAAGGGTATTTTAAAGATTTTTCTGTCTATTTTGTGTAGAGGTTTGCTGGCTATTGTGTTTCAGTTTTTTCTTATTCTTTTTAATTTTAGTTCTTTTTCCTTTTGGGATGATACCTAATTCTCCATTGTTGAATCTCTCTTTTTCTTTCAAATGTATTTTTTTCTACAAAAAATATATAATTAAATGCATATATATGTAAACTGATTTGATTTAACGAACGTGTACATATGGGCATGGGTATATACTGGCCAGCAGTATGCGTAATGCATTCCAAGTACTCATTAACACATTTTTCAATTTGCTGATATTTTGTGAGATCGCTTCAGTGTGACTACAGTCCATTACTTCATGCCTTCTCTTCTCTTTGATACATAATGCATCCCGGGGACTAAGGTAGGGCGATCCCCTATCTCCGTTGCTGTTCATTTTGACAATGGAAGCCCTAAATGGAATGATGAACAGGGCGAAGGAACTGAATTTAATTAAAGGGGTGCATGTGAGAAGAGGCAGTTTGAGTATAGAGGTTTCTCACCTCTGTTTTGTGGACGATACTCTCATATTCTGTCAACCCGAAGTAAGGAGTCTGCTGCACTTAAGATGTCTTTTATTATGTTTCCAGGGTGTCTCGGGTTTAAAGATTAACCTCCAAAAGACGGAACTGGTCAGAATAGGGGGAGAAGGGGATGGTAGGCTGTTTGTGGAAGTGATGGAATGTAATGAGGTTTCTCCTCCTATTAAGTATCTTGGTTTGCCCTTGGGTGCCAAATATAAAAATAAAGCTACTTGGGAGCCAGTAATTTATTTGTTTGAGAGGAAACTAGCTAGTTGGAAGATGAACTTTTTATCCAAGGGAGGCAGGCTCACCCTTATAAAAAGCACCATGGCCAACTTACCTATTTACTGCCTTTCTACCCTTACTGTTCTGATTAGTATTGCTAAAAAATTAGAAACCATTCAAAATAGGTTTCTTTGGGTGATAATGAGGAGAACTGGAAATTTCACTTAGCTAAATGGGAGGAGGTAAAAAAACACCCCCAGGGCATGGTGGACTGGAAATAAGGTCCTTGGTTGAATTAAATGTGGCACTGCAGGGGAAATGGCTGTGTAGATTTTGCATGGAGGATGATAGATTATGGAGGAGGATTGTTACAATCAGATGGAGTGATCTGAATTGGGATGACAGGGGGGGGGGGGGAGATCTGGGAAGCAGCATGGCAGGAGCCTTTGGAAAAAAATTCTGATGGATTGGCCACGACTTCAGAACAATGTATTGTGGAAAATGGGCAGGGGTAACAGAATCAAATTCTGGAGTGATGTTTAGATTGGGAATGAAAGCTTGAAGAGCAAATATCCCAGAATTTTTGCTATTGCACAGACAAAAAATCTGCTTGTCCAGGATGCTTACAGAATTAATAATGGATGGGTGGATTGGTGGATTAATATCTCAAGAAATTTGCAAATTGGGAAGTCAGATAGTATGAAGATTTGTTGCAAATGCTTGCTTCATAGTAGGTGAATCCAGAGGAGAACCAGGCTGTTTGGAATCTGGAAAAAAGTGGCAAATTTTCTGTAAAGTCCTACTACAGGCAGTTAACCAGGACAGATTATGTTCGGCTCCAAAATTTCCCTATGAGACAGATATTGAAAACTATAGCACCACCAAGCATTGCGTTTTTTGCATGGGAAGCCTGCAGGGAATGTATTCTGACAATTGATAAATTAAAAGCAAAAGGTTTGTTCATTCCCAACAGATGCTATTTATGTAAGAAAGCTGAAGAATCGCGCAACCACGTTTTGCTGTGGTGTCCTGTGGCTGTTGAGTTATGGAGTCTTATTTATAATCTTCTTGGTATGAATTGATTGGTGGCGGGGTCTGTTGGGAAGGAATTATGGGCTTGGGATGGTATGCATTTAGATAGTAAGTTAACTAAATTGATTCCATTGACCATTTTTTAGGTTCTTTGAAAAGAGAAAAATTCTAGAGCTTTTGAAGGTATAGAGGTTGATTTGTACAGATTAAAGGATAGATGGATGCATTATTTTGGGTTTATTTTGTTAGGGTATGATATTATTAGTGATGAGAATTTTGGGAATGTCATTTTGATACACTAACTACTATGTAAAGTTTTTGTAATAAGTGGTATCTCCTATTTTTTGGTACTCTGTTAATATATATTGTTACACTTTTTATTTCAAAAAAAATTGAAATTTCTAGTTTTCCTGCTTCCTAAATGTTTTAGCATTCTCGTCTGATTCTTTTTGTCAATTGGGTAACTTTAGTATGCCTTCATAAATCAACTACCAATTTGTTTGTGTTATTTATTTATTTATTGTGATAAATGGTTATCTTAATCATGGATGATTGTTCTGTAAGTTTCTTCATTTTTGTGTTCATATCTAGGCAATTGCGCAATATAGAAAAAGTGTTTGGTGGAAATGTTAGAGTTTGTGACCGCACAGCCCTTATCCTGGATATCTTTAATCAGCGAGCAGCAACACATGAAGCAGCTTTACAGGTGAGTCCAATTTTAGACTTTAATTATTACATCTATACACTAGATGATGGAGCTACTAGGTATTGGCAATTGAAAGTGTTAAAAGAAACAATATCAAACTGGCTAATAGGCATAGTGTCCCTTCTTGAAAATAGTCAGGGCCTCCCATTTTGCAAGTGACTTAGCAACTCTATTCCGAGATTCAACTTAGCTTGGTTTGATCCGTTCCCTTATAGTTTTGCACTAATTGGTAGGAATTAGATGCCTATAATCTTAGCAAGATGCACAACTTTAGTGAGTGTTTAAATTTCTTAAATTGCTTTCTTTTTGGCATATTGTTTAACTGCTTTAATCAGCCTTATATATAGGTGAATTCAATAATCAAATACATGAATATGAGTATGATAAGGATATACGTCTATGACTTTTCCATAATAAATGTAGTAACAATTAATGACATATAAATACGGCGTTTTAGTGATACATGAATGTATATGACCTTTCTATGATATCAGCATGCATTAATACAAGTATGCATGTATTTATATGCTAAATCTTATTCAGATTTTTTAGGTTATTTTGGACTTAAAGATCAACTTGGGTAAGTCTTATCAGCATCAATATGCCACAGGACATTATAGATGATTAGTGAGGTGATAGATTGTTGTAAGCTGTGGAGGCCAGTTGTACATTAAGGGCCCCCCCTTGGTGGTAATCCGCGCAATAGGTCCTTCTGGGATAGAGTAGAAAACAAGGTAGCTAAATGCTTGGAGTGTTGGAAGGGTAGACTATTCACATTAGGGGGTAAGCTCACATTGATTGAGGTGTCTCTTTCTAGCATTCCACTATACTTCTTATTTCTTGTTTAGGATGCCATGCAGAGTAGCAGAGAGGATTAAGGGTCAAATGAGAAGGTTCTTTGGTCAGGGAGAGAGGAGGAAAATAAGCATCATCTAGTTAATTAGGAGGTATGTTGTTAATTCAAGGGTTCAGGATATCTGGGAATTAGATATCTTAGATTAGGAAACTTATCTTTATTGGTTAAATGTCTCTGGCACTTCCCCAGGAACCGAATTCCTTGTGGCATAGGGTGTCAAAATATCCATGTGTATGAGAGGGAGGGTTGGGATGTGAAAGCAGGATGGTATATTACTCACAACAGTCTCTGCAAGGCCATCTTCAAAGCCTAGCCTATATTGCTTCCTCAAATCCAGATACAAGTGGGAGATGGTTCTGGTTTGGGGTTTGGGAAAGACTGATGGTTGGGTAATCAATCATTAGCTACTCAATTTCCAAGCTTATATAGTCTCTCTTTAAGACACCATGCTCAGATACGCCTTCACTTCTTTTATAATTTTTTTGATAGGGAGACTTTCGACATGCTGACCTTATGGGATCTGTTGGCACCTATCACTATGTCCTCCCAGCATTATCAAAGATTGTGGACTCTAGAGTTTTCAGGGCTTTTTATTTGTAAATCCCTCTTTCAACACCTCACTAATAACCCCACCTTTATACCGCAGTTGCCAATATATTTTGGAAGGTTCCTATTCTTTCTAAGGTGAAGCGTTTTCTCCTGATTTTTGTGTTATGTGCTTTAAAGTAGTGGAAACACACGCTCATTTGTTCCTTCACTGTGGCATTGCTTGGAAACTATTGATGGGTATTTTTAATTTGTTTGGTTGTTATTGGGTTTCACCCCCAATAGTGGAAACTTTCCTTAGTGTTTCTATCAATGAGAAAAGAGTGAGAAAAGAAGCCAACCCATTGTGGCAAGGTGTTCTCTTCACAGGCCTATGGTGTATATGGCTTGCTTACAATTCTACAATTTTTAACAACAGAAATACTTCTTAGATTGAGCTTTGGTAGATGGTTACTTTCTTGGCTTCCTTATGGGTCAAAGCATATGGTCACAACATGACATTAGCATCTCTTTTCTCCACTGAAGATGGGATATATTTATCCACAGCAGGTAGCCTTTGTGTTATGTTTGTTACTTTCTTTCTTTTCCTGTCTTTCTTTGAAGTTGTTTTCTTCTCTTATTTATTGAGGAGGATGTCTCATTCTCATTTGCTGAATTTCTTTCTCTCTTTTTCAATAAAGTCTTCTTTTATCCAAAAAAAAGCACCCTAAGGAATTACTAACATAGAACTTCTGAGTTCCTAACTGTTTAATGACATATATAACCTTCAAGGAGTATCAAAGATCTCTGCCCATTCTTAATCTTCTTTGGACGCTGATTGTAGAGAGAACCAAATAAGAGGATTAAGAATGTTGTGATGACAGAGATAATCATCCTTATTCCATTTCCTTATTGCAACAATAGCTTCAGTAATTTTTGTCATAGTTGCACAGGACTTAGAGAATTATTCTTAGAACATAAATAGCATCAGCTGCTTCAAAGGAACTTCTCTCTTTCGATTCTAACTAGGGAAGTGTTGACCCATACAAGCAAGTAGATTTTGGAGCCATAAAGCCAAGAGTAGCAAAAGCAAATACAAGAGTAGACATATTTCCGAACTGTAGAACACCAGATTGAAAACAATGTTAATCCAGCTAAAAGGCACAGTGTCGCATCCTGAAGACATTTAGAGCCTCCAGGGATTTAGAGATTCTATTGGATTCAGTTTAGCTTCGTTTGATTCCCTTACGGTCTTACTCTACTCGTAGGAACTAAGTACTTCGTAATCTCAATACTAGATGCACAAATTTAGGGCTGTTTAAGTTGCTTAAGTTGTTGTTTTTCCATATTGTTCCACACAGCCTTATATAGGTAAGGTTGATCATAAGATACATGACTCTTAGCATGACAATGATGCATGTATATGGCCTTTACATGATACATTTACGAAAATCAATGATACATGTATGTCCAAATCTAGGTTGTACATGAATGTATGTGACCTTTGGACAATACATGAGTATATCTAACGTTTTAATAATTCATGCACCTAGATGATATAAACATGGATTAATACAAGTATGCATGTAACTTTATGCTGGCCTCATATGCACTTCAAAAAAAAAAATGCTGGCCTCATACATCTAGAAAGCATCAAAAGATATCATCAGTTATTATTACTTAAATATAATTATTTCCCAACAGGAATTCCTAAACAATAGTCAAGTTGAAGTTTACATGAAAGCTTATACCATGTTTCTCCTACTGAGAACCAGAAAAAGAAGAAGAAAGGGTTCTATTCATTTAAACTAAAAGTTATGAGGTTATTATAGGTTGCATTAGCCCAAAAGGAATATCAGTTGCCTCGATTAACTAGAATGTGGACCCACCTTGAGCGTCAAGCGGGAGGCAAGGTGAAGGGTATGGGTGAGAAGCAAATAGAGGTGGATAAGCGTATTTTACGTAATCAAGTAAGTAAGCTGCCTTCTATAGTTTCCAATTGATAGATTGCTGTACTCTTTTTCATTTCTTTAGTTGAAACAATAACTCTAAAACTTTGAGACTATAGCTGTTATTTCTGTCAGTTGCTCTTTGTATTTTCAAGTACTAACTGCAAGATTCTGTTTCTGATAAAATCATATACTTTTTCTTACTGCTAGAAATTAAATTTAGCCTAAACTTTTGACACATTGAGTTTGCTAGATTGGCGCCCTTAAAAAAGAGCTAGAAACTGTTAGGAAACACCGGAGGCAATACCGAACTCGGCGTTTTTCTGTACCTGTTCCCGTGGTGTCTTTGGTAAGTAAACAAATTGTTATTTGATGTTTCACAACTAAATGAATGATTATTTGTTTTGTTTATGTATGTGATTGGCATTCAACATTTTAGGTTGGGTATACAAATGCTGGAAAGAGTACACTTCTAAATCAACTGACCGGATCTAATGTTCTTTCTGAAGATCGCTTATTTGCAACCCTGGATCCCACTACAAGAAGGGTTCAGGTTAGTTGAATATATCCAAATTATGACCAAATTTCCCTTTCATAATTTATGCAACTACAACCTGATATTCTCTTTTATTTGTGCTGCCCAGGTGAAAAATGGGAAGGAGTTTCTTCTCACAGATACTGTTGGCTTTATCCAAAAGTTACCAACTACCCTGGTGAGGCCCTTTTTCACACAAACATAATTAGTGAGAATCAGTTCTCTTCGAACCTTTTATACTGGACAAAGTATTTGCTAGTAGTGGTGAACTGGGTTTTTTCATATTAAGGGGCCAAAATTAAAAATATCATTCAATTCTATGAAGAAGAATAATATTGAAGATTGGAGTAACAACTTACTGATATCCTAACTAAAGCTTTGCCAAGGGGCCGGTTTGAAGACCTGAGAATCAAGCTTGGATTGGTCAAAGGAAAACTCGAGTGTTAGCAGCTAAGTTTTCCTTGTGAACAGTGGTTGCTGAATTTTTGGAGTCAGAAAGTTATGGTTATTTTTTGTGTTTGCTTTAGTTAGTAAGTGGTAGTTGAAAAGGAAAGGTAAACATGTTTGTAGCCAGAAATTCAGCACCTCACTACTTGTTATGGTCAAAACTGTGTATTAGGTGATGATTTTTCTGACAGCTTGTATTTGCTGTAGCAAAATATCTTTCCTTGAAAATGCTATATATATGGAAGGCTGGTGAATACAAAAGATAGACTTTCACCGTTCCACAAGCTTTCTCCTTTATTCTCCTGTATTTTCTTCTCCATTTTTTCTGCACTTTTTATGCTCTCTTTTTTTTCTCTCCGCAGAGTCCACAAGTGGTGTGTGTTTTAATTTCTGTTTTTTTCTCTTCTCTAACCTCTGTAATTACAGACATAAAACCAGAAGTTTTTACCTCCAACAATTACAACATGCTGAGTTGGCCAATAGAGTAAGGAGCGGTGACAGAAGGTTGCAATGGAGGGATGGGAGGGATACACAATTATGAAGAGATAGCAACTCTTGAATGACGAACGCAAAACTTAGAATAAGGTGGTATTTGGAGATATATGCTTAAAGAAAAAATAAAGTTTGCAGGAAATCAAAGGATTGGAGAAGCTGGCATTGAAGAACATTATATTGGAAGTCTAAGTAAGAAAGTTGTCAGATATAAAAAATGAGCTCGAGTTGGTGATGTTGGAAGGACAAAGTTGGAGGTAGAATGCTAAGATCGAGTGGGTCAAGCAATGAGACATTAGTAATGGGTTTTAGCACAAGAACATGTGAAGGAGGAGAAGCTTTACGGAACTAGAATTGGAATTGGAAGGGGACATTCATAAAAAGAATTAAGGGAATCATTGGGACAAAATATCACCGGATTTGACCTATAGTTATATAACGAGGATAAGGAATCCATATCTTTTCTCAAGGGGATTGATTGGTACAAATTAGTGAATTCATAATGCAACAGTCGAAGAGTCTATTTCTAGAGGAGGTTAGGAATGCAATTTTGGGCAATGAGCAGGACAAAGCTCCCTGACGGATGAGCTTACTACTAATTTTTTCCAATCATGTTGGGATAGTATAAATGATGACTTGATGAAGGTTTTGAGGAGTTTTATCTAAATGGGAGAATATGTAAAAGTATGAATTCGATCTTTATCACCCTCATACCTAAGAAACAACAATTAAAGAGTATCAAATTATTAGCTCCATAAGTTTAATGACTAGTGTCTATAAGATCATTTGTAAAGTTTTGTCCCTAAGACGTAGTAAGGTTTTGGATGATATAATTTTAACAAATCAAACTTCTAAGAGGTAGGAAAATTTTGGATGACTCTCTTGTAGAAAATGAATCGTGGAACATATGCATAGAGCAAATAAGGAAGGGTTAATCCTCAAGTTAGATTTCGAGAAAGATTATGATAGGGTGAATTTGGATTTTTTTTGGAGATAGTGATGAATAAAAAAGGATTTGGTGAAGGATGGTGATGATGGATACATGGATTTTGTAGTTGGTCTCTTTCACTCAATAATCAATTAAAAACCTAGAGTGGTTTCCGGGTTCTAGGTGCATACCACAAGAGGATTCTCTCTCACAATTTCTTTTTATTCTGGTAGTTAAGGTATTGAATCGAATGTTGGCCATCGGATAGGAAAAAGGGAACAATAGGAGTTATTGTTTGAAATGACAGAGTAGAGGTGTTTCGCCTCCAATTTGCAGATGGCACAATTTTCTTCTTGTCCCATAATAATAGATCGATCGCCAACGAATTCATGTTTGTCCAAGTGTGAAAGCATATTTCAAGGCTTTTGCACAAATGCAGCCAAATGTGGTTTGATAGAGGTAAATGTGACAGATAAAGTTGTGAGCAACTTTTATGAGGTAATAGGATGTTCTAAATTAGCTTTGCAGCCAAATGTGGTTTGATAGAGGTAAATATGACAGATAAAGTTGTGAGCAACTTTTATGAGATAATAGGATGTTCTAAATTAGCTTGGCCAGTTCGTTCCAAAAAGTGGCCTAAAAGGGTACCTTATAGGGAATAAACCCAACCAAGCTGGTGGAAAAATGAAAAATTTGCTCTTGGTATCTTGATTCATCAACCCAATGCATCTCATAAGTTTCTCGTAAGTATTTGCTTTTGGAAATACCCACAAAATCCAGAGTGCTGCATCCAGAGATAATCTCAGATCGGCAGTGGTTGCAAATTTTAGCTGCCGAACAAGGTTGATACAATCAGGTAAGGCAAAAGTAACTATTGCCCAGTATTTGCTGAACTAAATGATTTTATGGCAGGAAATAAACTTCAAGATTCTTACGCCATTTGTTTAGTTAGTGCCTCCAAATTTCATAAACTAGTCAAAAAAGAACTGGTCTACAATGTTCTTGCTGACCTAAATATAGAATACCACCAGAACCAAGTCCAAGTACTTGGTAGAGACTCATTACCATCTTTAGGACAAGCCTACTCCTATGTTCAGCAGGAGAGTTGCAGAAGTTTTATGATCTACAGAATAGTGTGGACAAGGTAGGATTGGTTACTAACATCATCTACGACCAACCTAAGACCAGTAACCACGATCACTTGACCTATGATTTATGTTACAAACCACAACATACCAGAGATAGCTTCTAAATGCTTAGTAGCTGGCCAAATAGGGTCATAGCAATTTCACTCGACCAAAAGCCAACTTGTCTGAGGTTTCCAATCAATAATAATTTTTCACCTATGCTGGATTAGATCCCAGCAAGTCTTATCAACTCTAGCTAACAACTGTCTTTTACAGGTTGCTGCCTTCAGGGCAACACTAGAGGAGATATCAGAATCTTCGCTGTTGGTGCATGTAGTGGATATCAGGTATAGATATGCTTTCTGTCAGTTCCATATTGTTTCATGATCAACATTAATGTCCTGAAAACATACTTCTTTTTGAAGTTCAGTCATACGCTAGCAGAACAACAGGTTGATGCTGTCGACCAGGTTTTGTCAGAACTAGATGTTTCATCAATTCCAAAACTAATAGTCTGGAATAAGGTATTTACTTTAATATTTTGTATTTCTTCTACATTCTGGGATCTGTTTAATGATTGGGTTTTCTTTTCCTCGTTATGTCCTTTAATGTCTTTTTGTCTCAATCTCTATTTTATTTTATTTATTTATTTGTCTATTTATATTTGCTAAGTGCATATACATTTGTAAGATTAGAACCCAAGCATTCTAATGATTGCTGGATGAAGGTGACCATTGGGCTAAACCTGCTTTGGTTGGATCCTTGTTTGATTATACTAATATCCTACCTTCTTGTAGTGATCCATCAGTTCGGTTAGGCGATCATGCCTTATTCTATTAATTTTCTTCACCTTTTTATCTTCTTTTTCTAACAAACTTGATAGAGGATAAAGAATTAGGTGGGCAGGAATGGTGGACTCCACTTACCTTAGCTGGTTTGTTTTCTAACAAGCTTATTTAGGAATTTATTATTGTAGTTTTTGTAACTTTAAGATTTTGTTCTTATTAGTATTAGTTTTCTTTTTAGTATTAATAGTATCATTTCTTAATTCTAAGCGTATTACTATTTTTTTTAGTTCAATCTCATTTAGTAAAGGTTATTTACAATGCATTATAAATATTTTTGTAATTTTTTAGATACGCTTTAGTTATTCAACAAAACAGAGTTTCCCAATTTCCTGGTTCTATGATATCAAGTTTTTAAGTGTAATGCATAATACTTACTAGATGTGATATAGAAGAAAACCTAAGTTTGAGGTTTAGGTTTTCATCCCCCAATCCATAAGTAGACACATTAATCCTAATTCGTCCGACATCAGTCGGTATCTGAGCTAAAAATTCCTACATTCAAAAAGTCAAACTTCATATCCAAACATTTCCAGCAATTTAGGGAAATAAAATCAAAATCGTAGATAGGAAAATGCTAAAACCTTTGCTAGCCCGTCCATATGCCACCAACAGGCAGTGAGTGACACGACCCCTAGCACATGCATCAGAAGACCTTGTGTTAGGGCTGCAATTAAGATGTAAATGATAAGGAAAGGAGGAGACGATTCTGAAAATTTGTGAGAATATTCTGCAGCAATATTCTGTTTTTTTTTTCTGTACTTTATTTGGCAAGAATATTGTGTAGGAATATGAAGTATGAGTAGTGACTAGTAAGAAATTAAAGGGATTAGACACGGTAGTTACTAAATTCTGAAAATAACTTCCAAATAACTACCCTCTCATTGTACTAAACCAGATTTTTATCTTTAGGACAGATTATGTATGAAAAAGAATTTTGAAGTAGGGTACTTTCTTGCTCTAGAGATTGTAGGGTTCTTTCTTCCTAACAAGCTCTTATTTTCAATCTAAAAAATAGGTAAAAATAGAAAATTAATGAAGAACTTTGTTCTTCCTACTGATTTATGTGTTAATCATCCCATAATTACACCCATTACCGGAACCATATATTTAGTATGAGAGCCAATAGTTCTAGGAGAATTACAATCAATGTTTGAGAAATTTTTGCGGACTTATCAGAAGGACCGGGAACAAGACAAGTTAAAGTTTGAATAGTTGGAAGATTGGATGAGTTGTCAGCTAGAACTGCTCAGACGGAGTCCAGTGAGGGAAGCAGCCAGGTGAACCACCAGCAATCATGCCATCTGGGGGCAGCAGCTTCTGCCGCTTGCAAAATGCATGAGGAAGAAAACTTCCATGGCGGCTAGACCCCCTATGTGCAACGACTGATGTTTGCAGGCACCTCAATGCGTCCAGCGTGACCCTGCCAGGCACCAGTACCACAACCGTTCTGATCACCCGTTTCTGCCTCGTTATACCAAATTAGATTTACACTATTTTGATGGTTCTGAAGATCCCTTATCATATTTGAGTCACGGTGAACTCTTTTTTCTGGCACCAACTTATATCGGATGATGGTAAAATTCTCCTTGACCTCCTTTCTTCTTGAAGCCGAAGCAGGATCATGATTGGCCTAATTTGCAGTGGCCAAAATTTAAGCATTTTTGTCAACTCAGATTCAGGCCACCAATTAGATGCAACAAACTCGGTGAACTTAGCAAATTGCACCAAACAAGGACTGTTTTGAAGTGTCAAAAGAAATTTAAATTATTGTCGTTGCAGTAAATTGGTGGCCGAACAAGAAGTGGAAATTTTCTTGACTGGCTTGCGAGATTGCATTGCTGTAGAAGTGGAACTACATTTTCTCACTGATCTGACAACAACAATGAATTTGGCCTGCAAGTATTAACTTAGTCAAAGCCTTCTGTGGCAGTGGCATTTCCTCTGATTCTTCTCCAACAGGCCGTGCTTTATCAATGGCAACAGATCCTGAATCAAGCCACAATTTTCTGTCCCAACCAGCCACCATTAAATGACTGTCTGCTCAGGAATTAGACCACCAGCGTGCCCAGGACCTCTATATCAAATATTATAAGCAGTTCATGCCTGTTCACCGATGCAAGCAGCTCTTCTGGCTAGAACTTGAAGAACCATTCACGGCTGACAGTTCCGCTGAAGAAAGATCTGAGAGCCAATGGAATCCACCTTAGGCATCGGCTCTTGTGCTTGAGGACAAGCGCAATGTTCAAAGGGAGAAGTAATGTTGGAGTGCAACTAAGATGTAGGTATAAAGAAATGAGAAGACTATTTGAAAAATTTGTAAGAACATTTTGCAAGAATATTTGTTTTATTTTTCTATATTTTATTTGTAAGAATATTGTGTAGGAATCTTATGTCAAGTATGGGAAGTTAGCAGTGAGAAATTAAGTGGATTAGACAAGGTAGTTACTAAATTCTGAAAATAACTTCCAGATAACTACCATCTCATTGTAATAAAACCAGCTTTGCTGTCCTTAAAACATATTATGTATGAAGAAATATTTTAATGCAATGTACTTTTTTTCTTTAGAGATTGTAGAATTTTCTCTTTTCAAGCATTTAGTTTCAATCTAAAAATAAGTGAAGGCAGAAAATCGAAGAACTTATTCTTTGTACTGATTTCTGATTTATGTGTTAACCGTCTCATAACTAGGCCCATTAGTTAGAACTACAACACCTTTACCATCAAAACCTTGAAGCCACTGCAGAAAAATGCTCTACTTGCTGCTGCAAGTCCTCCCAATTGCTACCCTTCTCAGTCGTGTCCTTTTCCCCAGCCGTTTCTCATGCCGCTTGTAGTCGCAAGCCAATCCTACTGCCTGAACCTTGGTGCACTCTGGTGATCAAAAACTAATGCGCGATCCCATGTCCATATGATGTTTAAGAAACCCTTGGTTTTTAAAAAACTTTAGGTATGATGTTTAGGTTTTTATTTTGAAATCTGTAAGAACGTAAATTAGGTCTCATTTATCTTACACCAATTTACTAAAAGATGACATGAGTAGTAATGCTTATCCTAGCAGTCATTATTTTACAGATATTTTGAACCCGGTTCCATCAAGAAAGGGGAATTAGTTATTTGCTTGTTATCCTGCTGGCTTTAGTGCTACAATACTTATGTTTTATTGCTTTATTAGAAATGGTGAATTTGCTGGAGATCAAAGGCTTGTTCTTTCCTGCATGAAGTTTTTATTGATAATCCCCCAACATCTTATATTTGCTTCTGACAGGTCGATGGTGTTAGTGACCCCCAAAAAATAAAGTCAGAAGCTGAGAAAAGAGATGATGTGATTTGCATATCTGCTTTGACTGGTGAAGGTTTGGATGAATTCTGCGATGCAGTTCAAGAAAAATTGAAGGTACTGATTTGGCATTAATTACAATTCAAAATATTGTATCATCTATAACCTTAATTACAGTGATACAGAATCTAACCACAAAATTTCTTATGATAGGATTTTATGGTTTGGGTTGAAGCTCTTGTGCCTTATGACCAAGGGGGACTTATAAGTACCATACATCAGGTTGGAATGGTAGAGAAAACGGTGAGAATCTTGATTTTTTTTTTTTTTTTTTTGAGCTTCATTCCCTTTTATTCATAGAGAAAATATTCTCTGATCCTTTATTTTTGATGTATTCATAGGAATATACAGACAGTGGGACACTGGTTAAGGCACACGTTCCTCTTCGTTTTGCTAGGTTGCTTACACCCATGAGACATCTTTGTAAATCATGAACCATCTTCTAGTTTTACCTTGAATTCTTCCTGTATTCATGCGTGTGTAAATATATATATTGTAAAGAAGGGAAAAGAGCAAATCCATACTTTTCACTATATACAAGCTACGTCTCCAAATGGAAAAATGTGGCATTACATATTTGTCCATATTTATGCTCCAAGAAATGTATAGAAAAGCATTATTGCTAAGCGATGAACAGGAAAATTGCTTGCACTGGTAAATGTTTTCTGCCACATTATCTGCGCTCAGATCAAAAACACATTGCGGTTTAATATGTTGTAATAATTCTGTTTAATAGATTTTTTAAAATATATGTATTAATTAAATGTATATATTAGTACATGATAAAATTTTACATAAATATTTAAATTTATAAGTTTGTACATATTATATTTTAATTTTCATTTCATATTATTATAATTACATTAAATCATAAAATTCTAAATAAATTATTCTAAAATACATTTAACCATTGAAATTATTTTATAAATTTTTTACTCAATTTTAAAATAATCTTCAATTAATTAAAAAATTTTCATATGTCAAAGATCATATGAGATCCAGAAATTTTTATCCTCTTATATTATGTATATGTGTGTGTATCTGGGTGTTTATATGTGGTAACATCTTATCCAGTGTATGAAGTTGGTACTGCTCTCAGTAAGTATGGTAACTCGTATATACATGTATCTATACGAGTTACCATACTGGTAAGGATACTGATGTTAGAACAAGGTGGGTCTGCAGGAGCAGGTAGAACAGAAAAGCTCGATCCTTTCAACAGCTCCAGTTGACATGTTCATATATATATATATATGTATATATATACACATGTATAATCTCCCTTGTAGGATTTGGTATTAAGGAGTGGTTGATGCCTGATTGCTGTCCGAAATAAATAGCCAAACACCAACCAATGAATCAATCACCAATAATTTGGACTCATCAATGACATTCTTCAACTTTATAATTCCCCATATCATATTAGTAATTACCGGCGGTTTCCTCTCAGCCACATTTTCTGTGGAGGCACATCCTGGCTGGTGGAGTAATAATGGATATCCATTTGGCCTGTCTCCACAATATTATCAATTCTCATGCCCTCAAGTTAATGATGTTGTTATGTCTGTGTTGGAAAAGGCAATTCTAAAGGAGCCAAGAATAGCAGCTTCCTTGTTGAGGCTTCATTTTCATGATTGTTTTGTGCAGGTTAACCACTTCATTTGCTTGCCATGCATGCATTACTTTTTATTGTTCAATCCTCTTTACTTCACTAATTAGAAAGTACATAAATTAAATATTACAGGGTTGCGATGCATCAGTGTTATTGGACGATAGTGCAGTGATTGTTAGCGAAAAGAACTCGTTACCAAACAAGAATTCCATTAGAGGGTTTGAATTAATAGATGAAATCAAGAGTAAGTTGGAAGAAGCATGTCCTCAAACTGTCTCCTGTGCTGACATTTTGGCTTTAGCTGCTCGAGGCTCCACTATTCTGGTAATTAGATTTGTCGAACCAGTGGGAATGAGCTTTTAAAATTTTATGGAGGTTTTTAACATTGGTTTAGAAAATTAACAGAGCGGTGGACCATCTTGGAAGCTCCCATTAGGAAGGAGAGACTCAAAGACAGCAAGCCTTACTGATTCAAACAATAATATTCCTGCACCAAATTCCACTATCCAAAATCTCATAACATTGTTTAAACGACAGGGTTTATCTGAAACTGATCTTGTTGCACTCTCGGGTACTTTGTATATATTTATATATTTAAATATATTGATTTCTAGCTATGATTGACATTGTTCAACTCATATGCATGAACTAATTATATATAATATATCAATACAGGAGGACATACAATTGGAGTGGCAAGATGTTTGACATTCAAGCAAAGATTATACAATCAAAATGGAAACAACCAGCCGGATGAGACACTAGAAAAGACCTACTACTACGGGTTAAAAAGTGTGTGCCCAAAATCTGGTGGTGATAACAAAATCTCTCCTTTAGATTTTGCCTCCCCAGCAAAATTTGACAACACATATTTTAAGCTCATAATGTGGGGGAAAGGACTTCTAAGTTCAGATCAAGTTCTATTCACAGGGGATCATGCCGTCAAAACTACACAGCTAGTTAAGGCATATGCAGAAGATGAAGCTCTCTTCTTTCAACAATTCGCTAAATCAATGATTAAAATGGGTAATATTAATCCTCTTACTGGGTTAATCGGAGAATTAAGGGAGAATTGTCGTCGACTTAATTAGCAAAATAAAGTCTTATTTCGTATATTATTGATAATCTGATTAAGTTTGTTTAATTAGTTTGGTATATTGTAATATTTTAAATTTTCAATAATGAATTATTATATTATCTATCACTATTCTAACTTTCTTTTTCTTTAATAGTTAGGCTAGTTGATCAATCTTTGCTATTAAGAAATCCCCTTAACAATTTCATAATTGTGAATTATTCATTATTCTCCAAAATTTTGCCCTAGAATTGATGTAGTAATTTATATCAAAAGAAGCACGTGTCAGTCTATTTATATTCTTTAGTTTGAATCTTGTAAATTTTCATGTTTGTTTATCTAACTAAATCAAGATCTAAATAAATTAAAAAATTTCTACAATTACATTCACATATTTTTGTAAATTAAATAATTGTAAAATTCTCTACGTTGACCTTCATCTAATTCTTTAACAAGTGCATTTGGTTGCTACAAAAATTTTTTATAATTTTTTTCAATGTTTTCCCAATATTTAATATCTATTTAACATTGATGAAATAATAATTTAACTCCTTAGTCTTGTATTATTGGAGACTTACATTGGCGAAACTATATTTGCTAATAATAAATGATAGTTTGGCATTTTGATGAAATTTGTAATCACTCTATTAAACAGATATATATATATATATTGCAGAGACAAAGATGTGGAGCGTGTTTTTTTTTTTTTAATTATGTTAATCATTTTGGATGCAGAGCAATAACATTGACAAAACTACTAGAATTTGAAAGATTCTTGACTTTTGCTAGTATTATTTTCTACTTTTATTAAATCCTACAATGCTTATGTTAGTTGAACTGAATTAAAATTATACCTCTTAATTGCACTATGTAAATTTATCATCTTTTTGTTAATATTGATATATACAGATACCGTTGATATGATTGAATATTCTTTTACAAACTGATTAATGATCTGATTGTTTTTTTACTTAAAAGTTTATAATAGAGGAGTAAATTTCATTATAAATTAATTAGAAATACTTAATAAAGATTCTATTTAAACATAAAAGTTTTTAGTAAAATCATATATATTTATATATGTAACAACCCCGGAAATTCATAATGGAATTTACATTATAAATATCCAATGCGGAAGCGAAGTCAAAATTTGAATAACATTCCTTACACTGAAACCAAAACATACTCACAAAATATAGAAGATTAAACTACCTAAAGGAGAAACTTGAAAGCAAAAACTACGAATGTAACTATGGAGTCTTTAGGCGTCCCATTCGTCGTCCGCCTGCGGAACCGGCTCGGGAACGATGTCCTCTTGATCTGAAATGATTAAATAAGGAATGAGCTACACTAGCCCAGTAAAGACATCACGATATCTCACCGTCACGGAGGTAAAGGTGGGTAGAAAACACGAAAAGACCAATGGAGCATAATTTACAACAAATCTTTTTATCGATAATAAAACC